CAGTTATCCTTTCAGTTCTGAATAAAGTGTGTTAAGCAACGTACATATAGGAAATCCGTTAAGCAACGTACATATAGGAAATCCGTTAAGCAACAGATAAAGAATATTTTGTTGCAGCCTTCAAACCGTTTCTGAATGGTATCTTTCAAATGAATGTTGTTGCTATAACAAGAATCATGTAAATATTTGAAACAAAGAAATCACTTGGAGCTAAGTCTGGTAAATGTAGTGGATGGGAGCAAAACCTTTATTGTTTGAGAGAAAGCTCTGAAACCTTGTACCTGTGTGATAGAGCGTTTTCGCTTGCTTTTTTGGGGGGTTTGTTGGAGTTGAAGTGAACAGGTTACATTTGCCTGACGTAGTCAGCCCAAGCTCAAGAAATTTCTCGTGGCAAGGAGCGTTATATTACGCCTGCCGTTGGCAACAGCCTTGAGCACCTTTCAGGTGACAGTGCGATGTAACACAGTTCCGCCCCCAATTTTGATGGACAGTTTAAATCCACCAAATCCCACGAGAGGTCTTTCGGCTAACCACAGATTTTAGACTGCCGCCATGCCACACCGACACTATACATTTATGAGCATCCATGTCTTCTCCGGAATTCGAACCCGGACCCTTCGGCAAGGAAGTCAGCGACGCTACTCACTATGCCGGCTAGGACACTAATAACATCTAATAATAATAACATCTGTCATCATTTGTTATCTATAATCTAATAATAATAATATCTATTATAGAGTATTATGTGTCGTATAATCAATAAAAAGTGGTTTCCTTTTTGTCTCGAAAAATGGTGCCTTAAATTCCCAGCAGAATTTTGTGTTCTGACTTGTTGGGATCGAAAACATCTACTGCATTTCCACAGTATGGTCTTTTGTTTTGTTTCTGGAATACAGTGGTTTCCTAACGCTAGTTTTGAGTAAACGTAAGGCCCACATTCTCGAGAATATTTGACTGATATTATTCACTTCTGGAGGTGAACATACTGAGTACTCATTCAGTGCAGAATTTCGGCATGTACTTTCGCAACTTTTCATGCACGAATTTTTTTCCATTGAACCAACACTGAGGCATTTTTGATAGCAATCTGAGAAATTATCACTCACGTATTTTCCATCACACATTCCTAGGTTTTAACAAACATTTCTTCCATAGCCACATCCATACTTGCTGCCTGGTTTGGGATTAATTTTTGAATGATATTTTCTTTGCCTAAACATGGCAGCTCACCTTTTGACGGTGGCAAAGAAAAGCGCTGGATCATCATTGACTGTAACCACGTGTTCATGACTATTTGTCAGTGTTATGTCTTCGTTTATTAATAAATCAATCTTCGACATTTTTATGTCGAAGACATGTTTGACATTTCAAGTCTAAACGACGACATCAATCACTGACTGACAACATTTAAGAACTCTTGAAAATCAGATAGCAACACGTGTTGTGTGTATTTTCCTTTTATACTTCCAAAAGATGATGCAAACATTTCACTACGTTTCGTCATCCCAGATGGATTATATCACAGGCTTAGAACTTATTAAATGCACCTCATATATATGTGCGTATTTGTTACATATATTGTATTCCATTTTTCTTTTCACGAAACTGAAAATAAGTCTTGATCCATAATACCAGTGAAAAACCTAGAGAAGGAAAAAAAAAAAAAAATATTTATCCAATTTTCGTCACGTCCGATCATAGCTTCAAACTTTTAAATAAACCAGGAAGTAATGTAATCCGAAACTTCGCAATTCGTACGTTGAAAATGCTTTTAAAAAAACTCCACTTTGACTATGATGAAATAAGTGTAGAAGTGAGAATATCCTCGCATGTGGCAGGTACTCTCCATCATTCCACCGGCCATCCATAAAATACTTTGCATGGAAAGGGGGGTATGAAATGCCAACGGTTTGCCTCTACAGTGCTTAGACTACCCTCCACACTATTATTATTACATCACTCCCAAAAATTACTTTTACGAGGCTTTCTGCAAGTTACACTCTGGAGGGGAAATTGAATCAATCTATTATAACTCTTGTATATAGGTGATCGGTTTTACAGTCTCGCCTTTTAACAGTGGCTTTAATATCAGCCTTTCGTTTAAAAAAGCAAAGAAAAAAGAAGACAGGATTGTAAAATGCTTTAAAGAAAAAAAAAAAAAAATGCTCCAGAAAAGCAGGTGAGTGTGAAATTCGATAATGGTATGTTCAATTCGTCAAATGTCAACGGAAAGATAAAATGGAAATTTGGTTATAGAATCATTGTTCTTAAAGTGATCGAAAATAGTAGGCAAAATGTGATTGTTTCGTTTTTTTACTTCACTTCAAATACAACACCTAACTGGCAAGTACTTACTTTCTTTTAAATATGTGCCGTTTTTCTCAAGCAGTCAGGGAGTGACTCATGTATAACAGATTCAGAATAAAATATCCAGTGTCTTAGATAATAAATGCACTAAAAAAAAAAATTCTGCATCTTTGGATACATCCAATTAAACTTTCTTAACCACAGAACAAGTCTCGTATTATCCTTCTCGGGTTAGATATAATTAAGTATCTCAGAACTCTTGAACACTGGAATGGTCAGCCAATGCTCCTTGAATAGGGAATCAGTATTACCTTTTGTGCCCGTTTATTGCACCCAACTTTAGATCTTCATTCACTTAGGTATGTCCTGTTCTAAAGAATATCAGCTGAAATTATATCAGCAGTGACTGAGTAGAGGAAATTTTTATTAGCAATTTCTGTTTTGCCGTTTGATTTACTTATAGCTACGTACACTTAATGCGTTTCAATAGTTCCTATAATACCTGACGAAAAAGAAATTAAAGCAAGTACATTTTCATTTCAATATAACGCTCTCAATTATCCGTGTCAGTTTATGCACTAATATACAAGGAATAATTAGAAAAGACGGATAATTCAAAAAAGTGACCCTGTAAATGTGGTTTTTCAGTTTTTCTCTATATTTTTACCCCCTTCAACAATGCTTATGTTGTAGAAACAATAGGTTATTTCGAAGCAAGAGAGATGAAAAATGAGCAATGTCCTCGCAGGGACTCGAAGCACGGTCTTCTCGAATACGCACCGAGCGTGCGGACCACTACACTATGAAGGCGTGCCAAGAACGCGGGAGAAATACCTTACAGCGTACTTTTGGGAATTATGAAGACTATTTCACAAAGTTTATGAGGTCAGAAACTTCAATTCAGTTTCTTAATTTGTAACTAAGCTCTAGTTTGATAATTTCTTTACACATTCTGTAGTGTCTCATCCGTTCATTTCATTCCTCACTTTCTTCTTACTATTCTTGTAGCAGCTGTTCTTCAGTCACAGAATTCTGTAAGTCCTAATCTGATAAAATCCTATAACTTTGTAACGCCTATCTTGGGTTCAACTCAACTTGGCTAGCTCACTTACAATCAACTTGAGGAGCCATATGACTTCTACGTGTGAACTGCCACCATTAGAATTTCTAAACTCTTAATAACGTTCAAACATAAGAATAGGATAATTTATTCTACCTCGCTATTTTTGAGGGTCAAATTAAAATTATACAACACAAAATTACAGTGACCTGGATCTCGCTTAAACACAAGCTTCCTTTAGAGTAATAAGAAGTCATGCAATTTAATCTATTCCTAGCAGGGGGATAATTAAACCTCCTTCTCTTAGCCCTCGAGGCTTTGCCATAATCACATAAACCAGACCTACTGGGCGTCTCCTCCGTGTTACCAGGCTCCCTCGTTAAATTATATCAGTCAACAGACTGATTTAATTTGGTTTATTTTATCACAATAAACCTATCTACCTGTATATCAAGGACTATCTGCTTTAGAGGAGGGAGGTATTAGTGGATGACTTTCTAAGGAAAACTGGCTCCAGCCAACAGACTGAGGTTGAATTTAATGATGCCATAGCTCTGGGCAGTATCTAGAATATTATCTTGAGAAAAAATATCAGCAAGGCTTATGTACACATGCACATGCAGCTCTGTACAGAGAGAAAGGAAACATATTTTTTCAAATGTTAAAACTAAAAGTGTATTAATTTGTTATTATTATTATTATTATTTGAACTATATTTGAAACGATACCGTTCTTTTAAAATTCCGAAGAATTATTTTTTTTACAAAGGTTTTTTTTTTTTTTTTTTTTTTTTTTTTTTTTTTTTTTTTTAGTAATTTACATAATGCTTTAGGTTAACTTTGTCTAAGCCCATTCATTAAGTAGCACAGATAATCATGACTTTTAAAAACGAATACATAAATTACAAATTGGAAGGACGAACAGAAAGGACGAGAAAGGTATCAAGCTGAAATCGACCTTGCTCACGTGTGATAAGTAAGATTGGAACACAGCTGAATTCAAAGTAAAAAACGAATTTTTATAATATTATTATATTAATTAAGTCCAAAAAAAGGAAATAAATTAATTCTAATTTTTATTTATTTTATTTTACTTTTTATTATAAAAGATATATAAATAAAGAAATGAAAACAAAAAAGAGTTTCAGAAGCTAGGTTAGCCAATAAATTCTAAAAATCTTTACATTCAAAACAAATAATTATTGACTTAAAAATGTAGCAAAAAAAACTGCATAAAACCTGGCTTTACTTTCAGTTAAACATATTTCACTAGAAAATTAGTTCCAATCACTTAAAGTAAAAAAAAAAAAAAAAAAAAACGCATTGCCGTTAGCATTTTAAATTTTGAACTATTTACTTCTAAGTAATTCAAATAGTAATCGAATCCATTAACAAATAACTTCCATGACTGCTTTTGCTTTGGATGCTACATTAGACTCAAACATTAGAACTTCTTACTAAATATCTAAAGTTCTTTAATTTATTATTCTGAGGGTATCTTTTTCAGTATATTTCTTATTGCACTTACAAAAGTTTCAAGTTAAGAGCATTTTAGTCATTTTTCTTGATTGCAGTAAATTTTGAGCTTGAAGATAAGTAACTAATTATCTGATTAAAAATACTTTTATTTACAGAGAAACTGGTTGAGAGGACAACAAGTCCAGGTCAGCTGATCCAGACTATATCCCAAGCCAGTAATCCAAATCAAGTGCGGAAAAGCGAAACTTTCAGCCCTGTCGGCGGCGCATCGGAAAAAACCGAAGAAGGAAAATCCGGCTCCAAGCAACCCGCCCCGAAAGATCCTCGTCTCCAGGCCAGGTGCAACTGCGAAGAATTGAGAAACGTGGAAGCTATCCTTGAAACAAAGGACTTATGGGATAAATTCTTCGAACTTGGAACTGAGATGATCATTACGAAGACTGGAAGGTAAGAGTTTAAATATTTCAGTTCTAACGACAACCATTACTTTCTGTTCAAATTTTAAACATAGTTCTTTCAATTCCACTTAGAAGAATTAAATTAATCTTATAGAGATTATTAGGCTTCTCAGCTCCAGAAAACATGTCAAACAAACAGTGCACTCACCGGGATTCAAATTTCTAATCTACTACCTGGATGTACTAACTAGTTACACCACGAAAACACACACGGGGAAAATGGGATAATTTCTCACAACGTATCATCAGTTAAAGTGGAAAATTGAGCAGACTGGATTCAAGGCAAATCTTAAGCAGCAATGGATGCCTGCATACTCACTGTTGTTCAGTATGAGTTGGCAGCGATGCTATCGCTATAGTGTATTAAAGAATACATGGGTCGTAAATATACTATTTTACATGGTAAAAAGTGATGCTAGCACAGGTGAAAAGGTATGATAGAACTGGTATGATAGAATGGTTGACCATCACTGGTGGAAAAAAAAAAAAAAAAAAAAAAAAAAAAAAAAAAACTCATTTCATCAAGAAATTTTTATGCGCAAACTCGTTCCGTCTCCTCGACAGATTTTCTGCCATAAACCCTGTTGTTTTCCCAGATATTAATAAAACTAAGGTAGTGGAAGAAATCCACATGTCTGATTCATTGAAAGACAAACAAAGAACAATGAAAACTTTCTGAAATAATGAAAAATAGACGGATGTCTTTTTCGCTAGAAGTATCCTGTCGGTAGAACAGGCTAGTTGTTTAGATGTTTTTATATTTTTCCTAGCCGCCCAACCGTGGCTAGCGACGCTGACTGCCGTACCGCAAGGGCTCGGTTTCGAATGACAGAGAAGGCATGGATGTCTGTAAATGTATCGTGTCTGTACGGCATGGGAGCACTCTAAATATGCGGCGAGCCGAAAAACCATTTCCCTGGGATGCTCTGCATCAAAATTCCGGGCGGAAATAGTAAAAGTCGTACTGTCATCTGTATTGTGCTTAAAGCTCTTTCCAAAGACAGGCGCAATTTTTCACTCTTTGCCACGAAGAATTTTGTGGGCTTGTTCTGATGTTACTATCAAACAAGTGAGATAAGGTACAATAACAACAACAACGAGTTTATCCCCATACAAAAACATGTAAGTACGCTATCGCGGAAAATTCTCGATGAAGACTTGCCTCTCCATCTAAATTGCTGTCGCTTGTTCTGTCGCAATTAAATAACCTAATCCTTTTTCCAAAGGTAAAATTACGCTCATACCAATTAATTTTTAAAGCTTATTAACTAATTCCTAGTTTACGAATTTTTTTTTGGCTCAGTGCCTCATTCCAGTTTTTTGAACGTTGCCTTTTCAACCTTAAAAGAGACACATTAGAAGTCTTTTGATTACGTAGGCACTGACTGAATAATCAATGAATGTTTCAGGAATTTAATGCACTTACACTTTAGCGAATCATTAATTAAATCTTTTCATATAATTTAGAAACAGACTGGTAACAACTGAATGCTTCAAAAAAATATCCCAATGAACCTGCAAAAACATGCAAATGCAGAAAAGAGAAGATGATATTGAAAAGAAATATATCGAAAGAACTTGACTATTTGCAGATACTGGATTCCAAGATAATTAACGTAAAACATTCTTGCCATGGCTTTATAAATTTAAATTGATAATCTACAATGGGTCTATATCACTTAGCTGACAACCACTTAGCCGACGAGACACATAGCCAAAAGTCGTTTAACCGACCGAACTGGACATTTAACCAACATAGACATTTAACCGACGGGATATTCAGCCAACAGCACATTTAGCTAACAACGCGTACATGTAGACAAAAGAATATGGTAATGTCTTAATAAAATAGTCCATATTTATTCGATGAGGGTATTTCCAAAGTACACAACCAGCAGATTTATAGACAAGTACTATATTTTTATTTTTATTCAATGCTATATCAAAGAATAGATTTTAAAATTAGACCGAAAAGCAACTTTATCAGCACAACAAGAAGAGAGGCAATCAAACAGGAAAAGATTTACGGTAAGCAGTTCCGGATTTAGAACTAGAATTATGGAAAAATTAGTTGTCACTTTCTACCAATTGGAAATAAAACTCGGCCAGCAAATGGCTATTATACGTTTGTGAGATTTTTTTTTTTTTTCCAACGGCGGCACTTGCTTATAATGGCATTGGCCACTCCTAAGGACAGAAGTGGTGGCCATTTTATTGTGGAGGCACCTAATACGAGGGCACCATTACCTCCTATGAAAGAGGCAGACAATTTTACATCCACGCCTTCTCCGGGATTCGAACCCGGGCCCTTTGGTATCGCACTCAGGCTTCCCTAACCACTATGCCATTTGGGCGGCTGGTTATGAGATCAAAATACGATAAGCCAATGAAATGGAAAGCTCTTAGTGCCAATGAATTGTGTAAATAGGTTTTTAAGTAATAAGCTATAAACCTTTTCGGTACTTTTCCGTTTTGCCGGCGCAAACGATAAAGTCGCCAATAATGGTACAACTGATGCCAAACGGAATATCTTCGCTGGTAACCTTTTACGCCTCCTTTTTAAAACACAAATAGCCATTTCGTACCAGATTGATTGTTTCTTTCAATACTGGCATACAATTACAGAGAATATTTACAAAGATAATTCAATTATATGCCCTAAGACCATTCGCGGTAATTAATTCAATTAGATGCAATCACACCGCTCATCCGAACGCGAAAATATAGAAAAAAACAAAATCAAGAGTTAAATTGATCCATTCTAATGAGAATGCACTAGCGAAGTAAAGCACTACTGTTTTACATAATTTCTGAGTAAGCTATTCATACGAATTGAAATAATTCTTGCATTTAAACTTGTATTCCAAATTAAGATTTAACTTGAAATTAATGTAAATAATTACTGAGAGAATTAGATTTTGGTTACGTAGTTTACGCGAGATGAGATCACTTGGGGTCCCGTGATATGTACCTGCGAATCAGGATGTTGAACCATGATAGCATAGTAAATTCTTAAATTAATGTCTTTTTACAAATTTATTGACTTTATTTATTGGCATTTTACAAAATCAAAAACCATATTAAAATGTTTATGCCTTCAAAATCAAAAATTATTAAAACTAACATTTAACATTTTTTCTGTTTATACTGTATGTTGTCGCCAACAAAGTCTGCTTGGCGAGATTTGCGCCGACGAAACGGAAAAGTACCAAATTTTCAATGAAACATGAAGCCAACGCCCCCCTCATGATGAATTCGATGAAATATACAAGGCATGTGCTACCATGCCACGTACTGAATAAAAAGGTGAAAGTTACTTATTGGGTGCAAGTTGGTGGTTTTTCGTTTTTCTCCGAAAGGTTCCCAAACTATCGCTATTTATCGGAAGTCAGCAAACATTGTCAAGACATGAAAAGAAAACCTAGTTTAGCAATTTAAAATACTAATTCTAATTATTAAATAAGGATTGTATGACGCATTAAAAAATAAAAAGACTTACATTCTTCTTCAAATGTTTCTCTATTTTTTTTGGCACTTTTCTTGTTCCGAAATACTCAACGATCTATTTTCGTTTAAAAAATCATCACAGAATTGCTGGGGTTCGGCTTCGTGCAACCCTCAGCAACAACCGCTTATCAACGAAACGCATTTCCTCGTTGCTGTTCCCTTTAGAAAAATTCCATAATCCTTCAGAAATTTATCTCAGTTCTACCATTGCTGTCAAATTCCACAAGCTCATATTTTAAAACTAAGTTTAAGGCAAAAAATATCATAATATTTGTTTATAAAAAAGTTGGAACTTGAAATATAACAAAGATAGAATATGAAAGTGACAGCATTGCTTGCCTGAAGGATTTTTTTCTAAGCATGGTCGGCACATTCTGAATATCTGGCGACTTCTACTAAGGCGGTTGAGTTAACACATAAGTACCCATTACATTAACGTACATGCGACATGAAAAATATTTAAAAAAAAACTGAAATCGAATGTTATGACATATGGATTATCAGGTAATGGCACGCTAAGCTAGTAGCTTTTATAACCTAATTGCTAACCAAGTAGTTAATGGAGCTTTCTTTTAAAAATACTATGGCAGATACTAGTTAGTGTACACAAGGGTATTAGATATTGTGGTAGGTAAGATGGCAAAATTTCGTAAATTGACAGAAGTGACATTACATTTTTCGTTACAGAAAACAGAAACACTCACTTTCATTCAATTTAATAGTCTCAGACTACTTTCTAAAATTAGAAAGAGAGAAAAATAATCTCGAATTCCAAAATATAAGTGTTGCAGAGTTCTTAGTTCTTACTGAACTCGAAACAAAAACAGCTTTTACACGAAATTAATTTTTATGTCACTAGAATATTTTCGGATTTTTATATCTTAAATAAAATTTACACAGGTAAAACATTTATCTTTTTCTTAATTTCATTCTGTTTATCGATACATTAAGATTCTAAATGCTATTTGTTGAACAGGTGTTTGCAAGTCTTATCACAGGATAACACATAAAAGTTGATAATAATGCCTGTTCTACATGCATTTCACTCCTTTTTTCCCTCAAAAAATTTTTTTTTTTTGGGGGGGGGGTTTGTTTTAACCATGGAAAGACACTCTAGGGCTATCTGCCTAAATGAAAGAATGGTTTCGTTAAAGACTTTGTAAGGGAAACTGGCTCTATGATCCACGTTTACACATGGGAAAAAAACACGAAACGTCCGTGCAAGCAGCCCCTTTCGCGGGTATTTGAAACTCGGTTGAACTAACAGTATTCAGCCCATGGAGTAGGAAAGGGAGGAGAGGGCCAACCGCGCAAAAGTGAAGCACTTTGAAGCTGGGTCACCAGATGGGGGTTATTTGTTTACATTCAGAAGCTGTGACAGGGTATGACAGTATTCGACACACGACCATTCCATAGAAATCGAAAAAGGGACACTTTCGCATGGAAGAAACATCATAGTGTGATGGATAATAGCAATTTCTA